TTCTCCAAATCTGCTGTTAAGCAGTTTGAAATCTTAGCACTAAAGATTGATTTATCTGGTGGTCAGTTTTTAACTGTTGTTGGTTGCTATAGGCCCCCTTCTGCTACAAACGACACATTATCCTCGCTCATGCAGCTTTTATCTCAACTACAGTTTAAGGAAATCATCCTGGTAGGTGATTTTAACTGGGACTGGCTTTCACCACTGTCTGATGATTTTAAAGCTCATTGTATGTCTCTAAATGTTACACAAGTAATTGAAAGTCCTACTCGTCTTAACACCAGGTGTCTAGAAAAATCATCTCTTATCGATCTTTTAATTACTAATCAACCCCATAAATATACTGCAACCGGGGTCTTTTTCGTCAACTGCGTAATCGCTGTACTGCTTCCATTAAAAAAAGCCAAAAGCGATTTTTACTTATCCCAGACCACAGACAGTTTAAACGATCCTAGGAGATTTTGGCATGCCATAAAATCCCTCTCTGCCAGCTCTCGCTCCTTAGAGCTGCCTCCAAACATTGTTGTTGACACCCCTGTGTCAAATAAGACAGAGGTGCTTAATTGTTTTAATAAACATTTGATTGCGTCCAGTTCCTTGTTTGACACATTATCTTTTGGTAAATCATCTCCCTCCATCGCCAATAGTCATGCCTCCAGTAGCCACACTTTCTCCTTCAACCCCTTCAATGTTGGGGAGGTTTGTAAGGCTCTAAAGGGCCTAGACCCCAAAAAATCAGCAGGCCCGGACGATCTCCCCCCTTATTTCTTACGGCTAGCTGCAGATATTATAGCCAAACCACTGTGTCATGTTTTTAATCTTTCTATAACAAACAATGTCATTCCAGATGTTTGGAAAACTGCAAATGTTCTCCCCTTATTGAAAGGTGGTGATCCCATGGTGATGAATAATTACAGACCAATTTCCAAGCTCTCTATTTTAGCTAAAGTACTTGAAAGGCTGGTGAATGATCAAATCAAAGAATATTTAAGCTTGAACAACATTCTGTCTCCTCACCAGTCAGGCTTTAGGAAGCAGCACAGTACAGTAACGGCTGCTTTGAAAGTAGTGAATGACATTGTTGAAAGCTTGGACGCAAAGAGCTACTGTGCTGCCCTTTTTATAGACTTATCCAAGGCATTTGATACTGTGGACCATGGCATTCTATGCCAGAAGTTATCTTATATAGGCCTGTCTGACCAAGCTGTTGGTTGGTTTGCAAACTATCTTTCAAATCGCAAGCAATGTGTAAAATTCAGCGGTCTCTCCTCAAGCTTTCTTAATGTGCCCAGAGGTGTTCCTCAAGGTTCGGTCTTGGGACCGACCCTTTTTACTATTTATATAAATGATGTGGGTCAAAGTATTGATGCCTCTGTACATCTATATGCAGATGATACTGTTGTGTACTGTTGTGCTAGCACTGTTGCCCTTGCATTTGAACGTCTGCAGTCTGCTTTTGACACTTTTCAGTCACATCTGTTCCACCTTAGGTTGGTGTTAAATTCAGATAAGACAAAAGTCATGTTGTTTTCCAATAAGAAAAGGTTACCAACTGTTCTTCCCTGCATCATGTCTGCACAGCATAACCCCATTGAAGCTGTTAACACCTACAGATACTTAGGCATTACTATAGATGAAAATCTCTGCTTCAAACCACATATTGACAATCTCTTAAGGAAATTGAAATTAAAACTGGGGTTCTTTTTTAGAAATAAGGCCTGCTTCTCCACAAGTGCGAGGAAACGGCTTGTAGCTGCCACATTTTTGCCGCTCTTGGACTACGGGGATGTTGTGTACATGAACGCCTCAGCTCACTCCCTTCATCTGCTGGACGCTGTCTACCATGGGGCTCTGAGGTTCATAACCAACTGTAAACCCCTCACACACCATTGCACGCTGTACTCTTTAGTCAACTGGACATCATTATCAATGCGCAGATCACTGCACTGGTACAAACTCATCTATACCGCTATGCTTGGACTGCTGCCCCTCTACATATCCACTTACATATCACACAAACAGTACAGCTATAGCCTACGATCTCAAAATGACATCACTCTGTCCGTCCCCTCAGTACGCACGGTGCTTGGGAAAAAAGCCATATCATACTCTGCCCCCTCGACCTGGAACCCACTTCAGCAGGAGCTTAAGCTGACCAGTTTGATACCCATCACGGATTTTAAACTCATTTTAAAAAAGCTGGAGAAATCATCTGTGGGTGTTTGCACCTGCTATATCTGAATACTTTATATGGATTTTAATGACTACTTTTTTTACGATGTTGTATTTTAGTGTTGCCTCTGTGTTTAGTGTCCTGTCTGTCTGTAACTTTGTGTGGTAGTGTTACCACTGACAGGTCTCTCTTGAAAATGAGACCTTGTGTCTCAATGAGATTTTACACCTGTATAAATAAAGGCTAAAAAAAAAAAAAAAAAAAAAAAAAAAAAAATGTAGCCCTGTGATTACAAAGGTTTTTTCTCTTTTTTTGATGTGCTAACTTGAGCTGGCATTATTTTTCCACATTTAGAACTGATGATAAGCGGTCACAGTAAATGTGTTAACCCCCCTCAGAGCGGTGGAATGGCTTTATTTCCTCCTATTAGTAGAATCAATAATGCAGGCAGAAGTAGAGCACAGCTGTAATAAAGCCAACTGGTTCCAAAGGTTACACTCAATCTTATCACCCTGGGTGGGACCAAGAAGCCTGCTGCACCTCTGCACACAGTATTCAGATCACCAAACAACTCAGTGCACATGAAGGGATTTTATTATATTTTTGTATTCACTTTTTCCTGCTGTTACATGTTAGCTTCTGAAACGACGTTAAGTGCCCAGAAGATTCAACATGACCCATCTGAACACTTAAGACAATATATAAATCCTATTCGCAGGCTTCAGTGAGGTAAGGGTCACAGCATGTTGACTCATTTACAGCTACTCCTGCTTTAGGAACTACCTGAAGGCTGGGTCGTCATATTTCCTAATGAGCTTCATTTGCTTTTCACAAATACAAGTCGATAACGTTTAAATGAATGGATTCTACTTCAGGGGCGGACAGAATGGATTGACCCCTTCTCGTTCCTTTTGCTGCACTTATGTGCATCAACCTCTATGAAAACATACACACCAGGTGCCATTGTAGGCACACGTTAAAGAGGAAGTACCAAAATGGCGGACATGTTTGTGCAGAAAAAGCAGAAACATAATGTGAAACACGGAGAAGTCTGTAAGCTGAGGCGGGGAGGAGAGGCCAGCTGCTGTGTTTACTGCACCCTACACATCCTACTGACTGTAGGGTGGAAGTGAATCACATAAACCTACATGTATTCATTTTTTGAGCACTAGGGTCACCTTTTGAGGGGATTTGTCAAACTTTTTAGGAATCAAACTATTGTTAATAGCAGAAATAAAAGACATTGTCATGAGTAGGTGGTGTGCAGTGGGTTTTCAAGAGTGTATCCCATTCAAAACAGCTGCCATGCTTCATCTGAAAATGACACTATGAGAGCAGTAAGAGTGACCCAACAGCCTGTCAATGAGCTGTCACTCACTATGAAGCCTGTACAGGAGAACTGCTCAGCTCATATTAGCCTCGTTCACACCAAGTACTTTGCCGTACTTAGTGCCCCGGCACTTATTACCCCAGGGCACTTAGTACAGATCGCGTTCACACCGGAATAAGTTCCCTGAGGGAAGATTACGCAAATGAGCCGCTGACGTCACTTCTTCTTCTTCTGCTTTGGGTTTACTGGCAGGCCGCAAACCACTTCACGGCGTATACTGCCACCCGGAGTCCCCGGCCGGAAGTCGCCGGAGTTGGGGACTGGCTTCAGTAGAAGCTGCTGGGACTCCCAGCAGCTTCTACTGAAGCCTTCCGAGTAAATCGCCAGAACGCCGACACCTCCTCATCTCCACCGCTCCCATGTTTTCTTTTGTGTTGCCATAAGTTAGTCTCTCTGCATTTGTGCACTGGGCGAATGCTAATGCTAATAATGCTAATGCGAGGATAATAAAATGGCGGCTCTATAAAACATTTCAGAATTTTACGGGGCGTGGTTTGCAATTTGCCCAGCCAATCAGAACTGGGGCACTTTTTTCCCCCAGGAAAGTACCATCTCTCACTAAAAATGGGGGTAAAAGTTCCCGGCACTCAGTACTCTTTTTGGTGTGAACGCGACATAAGGGGTACTAACGGAACTAAACGCGAAAAGTACGGGGAAAAGTACTCCGGTGTGAACGCGGCTATTGTCTGGAGGTTCATCCCCTTAAGTCACCTTGTCATTTGTTACAGAATGTCCATCATACATGCCAGAAAAAAGTGTTCTACAGTATCCTCACCCGGAAGTTATACATGAAACTTGAACATGTATGTTTACATAAACTTCAAGAAGTTTTGGTGTATCCATATCTACATAACATACACATGACAGATCAGGACCAAACTTCTTATCATCTGCATACACAAAGCAAGACCAAGTTTCCCCTAAGGAACTCCGCAAGGCACTTTGTGGACAATAAGACACAGGGCGGACAGAATACCCCCTCCAGAGAAAGACACAAATACATTCAAACCTCTTTTTAGATTCTATCTGTCTTTTCTGTTTGTCTTTAAGCAGATCTAGGAATCCCATTGATGTAAGATGTTCCTCCATAAGGAAACATAGTGGGAAAGCCTTTCAGCTACCAACATACACCAACATATACAAACATGTCACATGATATCAGTGATCAGTTATCAGTTATCAGATTGGATGTTTAAACACGTAACTAACTGATTCATTGTAAGTAAGCTAAGCATTTTGATCAGGAAGTCTCAATGACACCAATAGCTCCATCACGAAAGAGACCTAAAGCAAATGAAACAAATACAAACAGACAGTGAGTGATGTTGGGACATAATGAACTGTCTCAACGTGAGACCTTCTAGGTTCTCCTAGAGAGCTGTAATGCTGTTGACTAAAACATGTCAATCTCAAACAGACTGGGGTAATGCTGCCATACTGATTCAAACACATTTATTAGGAAAGTATACATTTTAACAAAGTATTTAACAAAGACTCAAAAAACAAATTTTCCACATATCATTATTAATTATTAAAAATGTCTCATGAAACTCACAAACAGTATAAAAGTGGAGGAGGTCTGGAGGGTGAGGGTTGAGATCAGAGCAGGTTCAGGTGAGTCGGCCATTGTTCAAACCACGGGCGTGTCTGTTAATGTGTGAGCGGAGATAAGAGTCCTCCCTGCCACAGCCTCAGGTATTCCTCTCCCTTCTGCATCCAAACACATAGAGGGAAGAGCATGAGGCTACGCACAGCAAGAACACCTTCATCAAGAGTGTTGTAGTAACTAAAGGTCATTTAGTTTGAACCTTGAACTGCTACCCTCACACATTTTAGATGTGTCTTTCGTGAACACATCATACTTTAAACTTCACTTTGTTGATGTTTTATAAAAGTAATTATAATACAAATGCTTTTTTGTTGCTTTATACTCTTTAATATTGTGTTGAGATCATGGGTTAACAATTGAACAAAGACATACTTATTCTTATCAAATTGAAGGGCATTTGTTTGAAAGCTACCACTGAGGACACTGTGTAATTACTGAGGAGGGTCTTACATTCTAAAAGTACCCAAAAGGACACGTGGTGTTTTCACAGTCTTTTGACATCTTCCTGGAAAACATCCAATGATTAAAGCTCATCAGAAGCTCATCAGAACTCTATTCAGTAAAGGGTCATTGGAAACAGCTTCAATCTGCACTTCATGTATTACTGAACATATTATAAATATAATACAGAAACAAATAAACAAAAGATGAAAGGTTATTAAATGTCCCTTTGTGGTGTTAGTTAAGGTGTTAGTTAAGGTGTTAGTTAAGGTGTTCTTGTTTGAGTTACACTGATCCCTGTTTATTTTTTATTCTGTTTATGTGCAAACTATCTCATTTAAATTGCCAACATTTTTAAATATATGCATCTAAAAACGAGAATTCATAGTTTGAACATCACTTTCCACAATCCGCATTTTTATATTTCTGGTTTCAAATTATTGGAAACAAGCAACAAAATCCTTTGTATCTCAGTCTCCCTCCTACAGGGCGCTGATGTATGATGGTATGAAAAGATATATAGGCTCAAAACAGATATGCAAGTGGAACAAAGTCAGTAAAACATGAGGATGTAATACAACAGGCTGTATAACACTGTACAGTGTAGGCTGTATGTGACGTCACAGGCCTTACCTGCAGGCATCTCTACGTCACAGCCCCCCACTGATGAGACAGGAGTTCGCGGGGTGTGCTCCTGTGGGGTCATCGTTGTCATGGCAACAGCCACCTGCTCGGCCCCTTCTGACCTGGTCGCGCGGGCCGGTGCTCCGTTCCTGCGGAAGGATGTCCTGATGCCGGAGGTCACGCGACTGGAGAGGCGCCGCACCGCCCCGCTGAGGCCGCCCAGAACCCCGCGGTCCTTCTTCAGTAACCCCACATCATCCTCCAGTTCCGCGGGGGGCACCTCGATGTTCCCGGAGTACCAGAACACCCACCAGATGAGGCTGAGGAAGATGACGATGGCTCCCGCGTATATGAGCAGGTCATAGAAGAAGACGTTCACGAACACCCCGAGCAGCAGGACCAGAAGCCCCACGATGTCAAAGGCTACCGCGAGCCAGAAGCAGCACACACAGCGGCCCAGCCCCCGGTACACCGGCTCCATTTCGACCTGGAGAGACCTCTGACCGTTTATCTCCAGGAGCCTTTTGTGCCTGGCATCGAGTGTCAGAGCGGGGTAAGGTGAGCCAGGCTGCCGGGGAGGGGCGGGCTGCTCCTGGGGGAGGGGCTGAGCTCTACCTGGCGGTTAGGCAGGGCCGTCCCTGGCCAACTTGAGGCCCCACGCAAAGTTAGATGATGAGGCGCAGCGGCGAAACCGTGCCGCGCCACACTAATTGCGCCGCATAAACGCATAGGTGCGCCGCATTTGCGGCTCAGTTGAGGCTCCGTCCGCAAGATGAGGCCCCCTCCGCGAGGTGATCTTCCCTGTAGGGAGGGAGGGCCCTGCGGTTAGGTGTTCTTCTTCCCGGGGAATAGAGCGTCAGCTGCAGTCTGAACAGTTATGAACACAAAATGTCTGCAACACGTGTTTTAGCCCTGCCCTTAAACATGGAACATTACCTTCCATGTCACTGAGGCTCAGATAAATAAATATGAGATAGGCCAGCGCAATGTTGCATATGACCAATGTCATTTCTGACAACACTCATGAAGCACACATAAACTAAAAGAAAAAAGTTTATAAAGATTAACAGATTCATTTGTCTAAATGAATTTTTTTTTTAAATGAAACGAAAAAAAATGAAAATGCTTAATGAATTTAAAGCAGTAGTTTAAATGTAATGATTCTTACTTAATTCACTGGAGGGGAGCTGTAAGACTTGTGTGAGTTTATTATATGTATGCACTGTTATCTGCAGCATTCAGCACTCTGTAGACTTGTATTAAAAGTAATGGAATAAATACCACTATAATAACAAGGGTTATTCCAGTACCAGACTCTGTTCACTGTACTGAACTGTGTCACTCGTTCTTCTGTGTAAACGTGTTGCTTTTCTTCATCTTTGAGGTTGCATCATGTGATCCCGTTCTATTCATACCTTTGTAGTTGGTCGACCGCCCTTTGCTACTGTACTATCCTTTTAAATGCTACACCATAAATCTTATTTTTGTAAGGACAGATAATTGTATGTAAAACAGTGAGTGAAAACAGGCACTGATCTTCACTGTATTATCAATGTAAAAAAAAACAGAAACACAGGCTCCATTTCCAGACTTGATAGTGCATGTTTGCATAACAGCTGTTATATGTTGTGTTGTGTATGGACTGCACACAGACAGATGGACACGCTGCAGGTCACATCGGGTCAGAGCAGGTCATACACTGCTCTTTGGGCTGCAGCTGTGTGTGTGTGTGTGTGTGTGTGTGTGTGGTCTGCAGCCATGTCGGTCTCAGAACAATCACAGATGGATGTCCAGCAGCATTTCTCTGCCTCATTAATCCTGTTCTGGATTTACACAGAACACCAGCTTATGGAGAAGATGAAGAAAAATAAATAACAGAGAGCAACAATGATACAACGAGACAGATGGGCGGCAGAAAATGACCCATTTGGGGCGGCCTGTGTGACATATTCCTCACATAAATCATGACATGTGTTTAACACACTTTAAACCATGCATGTCTTCATATGTAGAGTCTCATACACACATGGTGCCAGAGCGAAGCACTGCTGGATTCCAACAATAATAAGTGTTGATTTATTGAAGGAGAAAGGCTATATAAGCTCCATTGAAAAGGTGTTTATTGTAATAAATAAAAAATATGTACAACTATGTAGTGCTTAAATATATTGACTTTTAGATGGACTAAACTATGATCAACAACAAACATCTCCTCAGCCGTAGTTTCTGTATTCTGATGTCAGTGTAGTTTACAAGGCAGACTATCATTTTATAGGTGTGTGAGAAAAGATATATATTATAAGAAAAACATGTAAAGTATTCTGTATGCTTTACTTGACGTCAAATAAACAGATTTCCTATTTTGTATTTATTTTTTAGCTAATTTGCCTTTTTTCCAAACCGTTACAAGAAAAAAAGGCTCTAGTTACGGCTCCTTATTTCCATGGAACCATTGCATCGTGACAGAGATGCGTGCAGGTTGTGGCCATAGAGCAGCAGAGGCTGGGATACAGCTCAGTCCAGCAGAACCTCACGTTTGGATGGAGTCCACTAAAGGGTAGCCCTAGATTTACCAAAACTCTTGCAAGACCCGCTGCCTGAGGATCTTTCCTAACCTTAACAAATCGAGGGTTTCCATGGCGACACAATACCAAAATGCCAAGCACCAGGCTTCCCAACACGACAGTACAGACAGTGAGTCCCCTTCTTTGACACATTCTACTGTCCATGTGCTTTGCATCTGTTCAGGCTGCAGCCCCCCCAATAGGACTATTACCAGGCAGGAAAGTGTTACTGGGATGGATCCACTGAGGTCTTAATACATTTACAAATTATAATAAAAAGGTTGGTACCACTTTACAATAAGACTACCCTTATAAAGGTGAACAACAGATACCAAGGATGCTGGCTGATGAAGAAGACGAAGTAAGCTAAGTAGCCAATATAAGGCTTAGCAGTACAGATAAATGTGGGCTCACTATTTGGCAAGCAACCGGTCACAGTGTTTATCTCATGTCTTATAAAAGCTTATTAATGATTTATAAAGTGTTCACAACCTAATTAATAAATGAATGACAAACTATTCCTAAACCCTTTATAGGGGTAGTCTTATTGTAAAGTGGTACCCAAAGGTTTGTAGCTCATCACTGTGCCCTTCAAACTGCTGATCAATCATACAGTGATGACTAATCAATCATATATGTTCCAACCGATCGATACAAATGTGTATTTTTTTTACATTACATTTGTTATGAAATGTAATAATGAAACTCCAGCAGTAGTAGTAACATGTTCAAGTGGGAAGAAAGTCATTTATTCAAGTGAAATATAGAAGGAACAAAACAGTAGAAGAAAGAAGTTGTGATGCTGGCCTTCCAATAAATCACAAAGTGGTTGATGCAAATGATTACAAAAAAGCCTATATGCCTTTTGAGTCTCCAGCTTTAACCCTTTAAACATGAAACCCTTTGTTAAGACATAAAGATCTGAACACAGCCTAAGAAGCTACATGCTTCAGCTCACTGGCAACATCTACCAACGGTTACTTTAAAGACTACACAATGTTTTATACTCAATAACATGTTGACATGTTTTCACATAAAACACATTTACTGTGGGAGTACACAGGACAGAGGAGTTCATGGTGGAAGAAAGAACGCTCAAACAAAATAACAGAGAAGTTATCTTAATAAAGGATAAAAACATCCTATTAGTTCAGAACCTTTTGGTGACCTAGTTTTGAGGGGGCAGGTCAGGCAGGGGCTTTGTGATCTCAGCATTTCTACAATCTTAAACTATGGCTGATCGGCCCACCAAACAGAAAACAGTTTGAAAGATTCAAACTAAAACATGGAGGCAGACGCAGGTTGAGATGTCCTGACCTTTAGTCCCTGGTGTGGGTCAAGCCTCCTACACTCACACAATGTCCATTCTGTCCTCAAGTGTGAGCACACACGTTTTACAGCAGATCGTGGGTCCTGTCAGTTCCCCATCAGTGCTGCCGGAGCTCCACCTGCAGTCCCTTCCCACGGCTGACTCTGGCTCTGTTTGAGCACGGGGATCCAGACCAGGCCGGTGACCAGGAACATGAGACCCACAGAGAGGAGGAGGGGGCCCAGCAGGTAGGGGACGCTGGCCATCTGGGTGAAGTAGAGCAGGGACAGGGCAGTGCCGGAGCCAAACAGCAGCGCGCCCACACCGATGGCCAGGATGGGCCTGGAGTAGAGGAGCCAGCAGGAGGGAGCCTGCTGAGGGTGGAGCGGGGTGGAGGCCTCAGTGTCGCCCCCATCCTGGCAGGAAGGATCCATGGTGGATATGGTTGAAGCTGTGGAGAGCATGGGCCCACTGGAGGGCTGATGAGACGCACCCCCCCTGAGCTCACAGTCTGATGGGCACAGAACAGGATCATTACTTTTCCTGTTGTCAACACATGCCATGAAGACTCTCAGTCCACAGCCTATTGGGTACTGAGAACTTAAATGTCATAATGTATAGTTTAACATGAGTATTATTACTAGTACTTTTTTAGTACTATTTATTTATTTTTATACTAAAAGTTGGTCAGTCCGTCCTACACGTTGCGGTACACTCCAAGAGCCTCGATTTAGTACACATTCATGTTCCATTTATGAATTTAATAATGTTTTTATATGCTTTGCCTCTACTACAACACAGCAAATGTTAGCATGCTAGCACACATAAGGTCATAATAATTAACCTCAAATTAGCATGTGACATTGTCCTTGTTCGCATGAGTCAGGGCTGCAGGATGCTGTATGATTGATGGCAATGTGAGTTTATGGAGCTGGAGGTGATGAAACATGGCGGCCCTGTTTCCAGCTGAAGGCAGCACAACTAGCTCAGACAAAACATACACAAACTGAAGGACTATATTTGAATTAATCTCGAGTGGAATGGATTCCCCGGATTTACCGGACCTACTAACAACCAGACAACACAACAAGATTAACACTCAGCTACAGAGGACCTCAGTCAGTGCTACTGGGCAGCATTCATCTGTAAATAATGTGATATAAACATATAAGCATACACTGAAGAAATCACTATAATTAAGAGTATTATGTCAACAGATTTCACATAACTGTATTAGGTTAGTTGAAAGCAATAATATTAAATTGAACCCATTAATAAACCTACGTTTAATTTAAACCTAATAGTATTGCTTTTAACTAACCTAATACAGTTATTTGAAATGTGTCATCATAATAAACGTTTCAGCTTTTTCAGTGTAGAATATACACACACCGCATGACATCTATCGCCAAAATAAGATTCAACCACTTCTCACAGAGATTTGTCAGAACTCTAACTGAACAGATTGAAAACGTCACTAAAGAAAAAACATCTTGGAACTGCAACTTAAAGCTTTCCCGGCAAAATATATGATCAGCGTTCATTTGTGTACCCCATACGGCAGGAGAATAAGAAAGGGCGTTCCTGTACGATCTATGCATGGACAGTTCTACACCGGCCTCACTCTGACTCCTCAGGGGCTCAGAGAAGGCTGCTTTAGAGTGAGGGTCCTGATGACTTCCTGTTACACATGGATAGAACAGAGCCCTCACCCTCTGCACAATACAGGGAGATCTAACCACAGCTGGATACACACAATACTTTTTAGTAGGATACATTTATTGTTTCTTTCTTTTCATAGGATGTGTTGGCAATAAGAACAACACAGAATGATGGCACACTTATCTAATTATTAAAAGCACAGAAAATCCTTTCCTGGTTGATGAGAAAATGACTTTTCAGTAAACCTGTCTGCAAATCGGAATGGAAAACAGTCGCCAGCCCTAAACCATATCAAATATCACAATTCACATAAAAC